AGAGAGAGAGAGAGAGAGAGAGAGAGAGAGAGAGAGAGAGAGAGAGAGAGAGAGAGAGACCATCAAGTACAAAAAAAAGGCAAGTGCTTCCCGCACTGTTCCACCCACCGTTACAAATTTGCAATCACGGGACTGTTTGTCCCCAGGATTCTAAGCACTACAGGTAATTTACAACGACAACACTAAACTGCACGAATGGCGATCTACCATGCATGACCCGCAACAACGGACAGCGATCGACCAACGAAGCCTCGCCATGTCTACGTTGGCGCACCTACCAACACGACTGCAATGGGAAACCAACCAACAACTCGCCCCCGCCATAAATGGACCCCACAATTGCACAACAAACTTCCTAGCTGCTCGGCCGCTGACGAATGGCCTTCGCTATTTCCAGCAATGCGTGGCACATGAGTTTGCTGACTTCGTCTGACGCGGCATAGTGCTTCCTTTGCACTTCCACCTCCGCTTCCAACGCCTCGCACCGCCGGACCTGGATAGAGCATTGCCTCTTGCTCGCACTCTCATCGTCGACGCCATCAGCTCCCCGTGTTTCTCCATGCATTCCGTCAGCGCCTCGAAAGTCTGCTGCCTCATGTTCTTCCTTTTCCCAGAACTGCCGGGGGTGTCCGTCGTCTTCGAAGAGCCTCGCGTCGACCCCTCCTCGTCGTCTTCTCGCCCTGCACCACCTTCCCCGTCCGCCACCGAGTCAGGATCCACGTAAGACGTCGACGGCGGGCGCACGCCGCCAGACGCACCGGTGTCTGCCACGTTCCTCGGGTGGATGGTGTGGTTCATCCCAGTCGACCCCTCTATCTCGTCATAAACTGCGCGATCCATCGTGAAATTGAAGCCCCTGCTCGCCCTCTCCTTCGACGTCAACTGGAAAAAGTCGGCACCCCCTGATGGTGATTGAAAGTGATGGACTTTTTTGAACTGCTGCATTAGATTGTCCCACTTCTTCCCGCATTTCTCCGCATTCCTGTACACGCCGACGTTCTTCAACCTTTGGGAGACATCTTGCCATTTCCATTCCCGCGGTTTCATTCGTGCGTATGTCTGCTTCCGCCGGTGGATCGTCCGTCTTGTTCTCGTTCTCCTGGTCTCCCACGTGAAGATGCTCCACCCCCCGTGTGATGTATTCCTCTCGCTGCAGCCGGTGATCCCGCCGCAGGTCCCTCCACACCTCCCTCCCGTCGCGACCATCACCAACATCCAAGAAGTCGGTCCCGACGTCGACTCCGACGCCACGGCCTCGTGCCACTTCCGACGCCGTAGACAGGGGAGATGGCAACTGCATCCACTCCGGCCGACCCTGGGCGCCCTTGGATAGAGAGGCCGCCCGTGGTTGGGCTGTTGACGAGTTCCGGTTCGCTCCCGCCGTCTCACTCGCCAACAACCTCGTCCTCGCTGATCGATCAACAACTGTCAATTGCCCGCCTTCGTCGTCGGGGTGGGGTCGCACGAGCACTATGCGCGATGGAGTTGTAGACCGCCCGGTGGACAAACCGAGCGACAGGTTGACGCGGCCATCTCCTTCGTCTTTGCCAAGGCCAGGCCGAAGGAATTCAGTGAACGACTGCTCGTACACGCCGCCGCACGTCCCGCACAGCTCCGTGGCTGACCACTCCTGCGTTGATCCGCTGCCCAACGACACAGTTTGTGGCCGTCTCTCCACCTCCTCCTCCTCCTCGTCCGATGAGCCGGGGAGTGGTTGCAAGTGCGGTGGCAATGCATCACACCCAACCCGCTGGGAGGCCCTGCCAACGGTCGACAGGCTCCCGCCGCACCGCCTCCCTCCAACTTGCTCCCCACCGGACCAAGGGATCGATCGCCTGCCGTGCCTCCATCCTGGCGTCCTTCATCGAAGACCTTGTTTTGCGTCGACGCGGCGGCACGTTCCCAAGGATGCACACGCGGAAGAGAACCACGAGGAGCAGCAACAGGACAACGAGGAGCAGCAGCGGCAGCCTGCAGAACACGTCAGCCATAAAACAGTCGACGACGACGGCAGCAAACGGAAGACAACGCGGGCGCCAACATAACAGCGGAGCACAGTGCTGCAAACGGCCGTCCCGACTTCGCAACAAACCCCCGAGGACGTCTTCGGTCTCCCACGGTCAGTGCGTAATTGGGAGCTGGAGTGCGGCCTTAAAAATTCGTATCTGCTGACCGTTGGGACATTCCCGCGGATTGCCATACATGACGACGCAAGACGGTACCTTCTGGACGTCAGGGATGCCGGTTGGCCGCAAACGGTAACCGTTGGAGTGAAGCCGAACGTTGCCGACCCAACATGTCCGTGGAGACGCAGCAGGACCACCGATGGACCAGACGGAATTGAAAAATGTCGTCGAAGGAGCTGCCGTCGACGCCCCGATTCTTCCGGAAGCTCGGCCTCCGAGGGACCTCGGGAGGTCCCTTGGAGAAATCGCCAAAATGGCTGTGGCTTCGAGGAATCCCCGAGGAATCCCCGAGGAAATGTTTTCACATTTTCTTTTCCGCGTCTTCCCCGAGGATGAGTGGAACGACCATTTCCTTGGGGAATTTCGGGTTCGGAGGAGTGTCGAACGAGGCCCTTTGTTCCCCTCCTCCTCTCCTTAACACTGGGCATGCCCGTGCAAAGAAAGCTTCCCGCATAATCTTTTCAATCGGTTGGGGGTGTGGCCAACCCGAAAAGAGGTTGGGGTCGGCCTTAGGCCCACTGGATGGCAGATTTTCAGTATTTTACTTGCTGTTGTGCAATTATCTCATTGGGTGGAGCCCTCCTTCAATCACAGAGTACATCGAGGGTGTCAGGATCACTGCTGACAAAGGTCAAGTTTATTCCAGAAAATGTTGCGGTTACTTTGTTCACTGTTGTTGCGACCACCACCATCAGATCGTTTGTGATCTGATGGCTGGGAAGCACTCTGCCGTGATTTCCGGTGGAAGGTATCTGTTTCTTTTTTTTTCTTTTGCGTTTCTCCTGTTTTCTCAGCCCAGAAATCCGTAATGAACCTGTCAGCCCGCAGCCACTCAGTGTCACACTGGATCGCCCACACTGGATCGCCCACACTCCTATCCGACTGCTAATGGGACCTCGCCCCAGATGGCTTGTGACAGTAGGTCACAGTCGGTTYTTTTTTTTTTCGTTTTTTTTTTTTTTGGKGGGGGGGGGGGGGAGAGGGAAGGATCGGCATTTATTAACAACAAAAGCCGGGAACCTAGCCCGCCGTCCCTCACAAGGGTTCCAAGAGCAGACGGCGAAACCAGCCAAGATCACTTCTTTGAAGTGGCAAATAATACACCGATGTCTGCTAACCAATGACTGGTTGATAGACCACACCAATTTGGAACAGAAAGGGCTTGCACTACCCTGGTGTCTGCTATGCCTTCTATTTTTTCCAGCCTGCAAAAAGAATGAAACAATAGAACATATTTTCATGCAATGCCCTATCTTACATGGACATGGTGGGACTGGGTGTGGAGAAAGATGGGTATACGAAGCCCCTGGCTCTGGTCCTGGCAGGCGATCCTGGCGGGTCACTGGCCAAGGCAGGAAAAAAACAACCTTCACAGACCTGTATAGGCTGGGAAGACGAGCAGCGCTGTGGGCCCCATGGTGGCAGCGGTGTCTGCTGACCATGGAAAAAGTATGCGTAGGAGTGGAGATAGCTAGCCTTGAAATTCAACAGCAAGTCCAGTTAGAATTGACATGCAGATAGCTAGCCTTGAAATCCCAACTGGACCTGTATCCTAGGCTAGCAGAGTGGCCCGGGGTCACTTACCCAGCCGGGCCAAAAAAAAAAAAAAAAAAAAAAAANAAAAAAGATTTTTTATTCTAAATTTGGTGAAGAATTTGGATGTGACCCTAAGGCAAAAGTTGTTCAGGGGCGTGGTCCCACTAGCAAAGAGGATCGGATTGAATGCCTGAATCTGAACGACTTTGTGGAGATGTACAGGAAATCGAGATTGAACTGCTTTTCTGCACCTCTGCATAAGACATCCAGATTCAGGCATTCTATCGGATCCTCTTTGCTAGTGGGACCTCGGCCCAGTTTATTTTTCTGCATAACATAGTGGTTTTTCGGATTTTTTGGTTTTTTTTTTTTTTTTTTTTTGCTGGGACCTTCCCTGGTCCTTGCACGGGCTGGCCACCCGGGACCGGGCCGGCCCGGCTGGTAGCCTAGCCTGTATCAACAAATACGAGATGTGAAACGGGCAATCACAAACTTCTGTAAAAAATGGCTTGGGGGGATGGGGAGGGTGGATAGCGATGGTCGAATGGAGTTGGGATGCCCCAGGTAGTAAACAAGTCCTGGAGGGAGCAAGAGACTACAGACTGGTTTTCAGGGACTGGACCCGTATTGAATCCTCTTTCCCGCTCCGCCCATCCTCTGATTTCCCGGACCCTTTTCCCCCCCATGCCCTCTCCTTAACGGAGATCCTGTCATAAGGGTGTGTTGATCACTCCCTATTGCCCCCCGGGGAATGGACCGCTCACCCCAGAAAAGTACAAGGAAGCAGCTCCAGCGGAAGGCCACAGTCAGCAAGAATTGCTGCTCATCGGACGAGGAATTACCGCGTCCGCACAAAGCTGCCAGTCATTCAGTTCAAGAATCGAAGGACAGAGGCAGTACCTCTGAGAGACAAGCTGTCATCGTCCAGGCCATCGAGTGGAACAGAGGGATTGATAGTGGGGGATGGGGTGGTAAAGATTTTGGGTGAAAGATAGTTGGGAGAGGGAGGAACTAGTCTCTCAGCAGCAGGTATCTGGCGCCTGGTGCATGGCGAAGAGGCTTTTTCCCGTTTCCCAACAACCTGCTCAGTTAATCCTCTGGAGGCCAGAGTGATCAATGCTGGCAGGCGTTTTTTGCAGTCCTATTTCCAGACATTTTTCCTGATTCATTCTGTGGACGCTGGACCCGTTTTCCAGCAGGTTATGCTCCCCACGAACAGATGGATCCTCTCCCCGGGTGCTAGTGATGCCTGCTTTTACGAGCAGCACTAGCACTGCAGGGGGTTAAAAAAAAAAAAAAAAAAAAATGTTGTCTATTCCAAAAATAAAAAACAGCAATTCAAAGGGCCCGAACCTATCCATCAACCTGTCACGAAACCCTTTTACTTAGGGGCTCGTTCAACACTCCTCGGGGGCCAAAATCCCCCAAGGAAATCGTCGTTCCACATGTCCTCGGGGGAAAGAAAAAAAAAAACCATGACCGGGATTCCTCGGGATTTCCTCGGGGATTCCTCGGGCTATAGGCAATTTTCATTTTTCCCCAAGGAACCTCCTGTAGGATCCTCGGAGCTCCCCCATCTGGAAGAACCGGGTCTTCGATGGCATCTCAGTCGACTTCTTTTCTCGGCGGCGTCTGGTCCATCGGTGGTCCGGGCGACTTGCGCACGGACATGTTGGGTTGCCAACGTTCAAGCGGCCCGATGTCAACGCCCACGGTAACCGTTTGCAGGCCGGTAGCATCTCCAAGGTGCACACCGCGGTGCACCTTGGGGTTGGGCTTCAACCGAAGCGGGAAACCGCCCAACGGTCGGCAAATGCGAATATTTGAGGCGGCACAGCACGTCCACAACACGACGGCTTCCGTTTGTCTCCAAGCGCGTATCGCCGTCTGCAGGACGTCACAGTTATGTTGTCGCCCGTGTTCTCTTCCGTCTAGTGCCGTTGTCGTCGTCCGGCTCATGGCTGACGTCTTTCGCAAGCTGCCGCTGCTGCTTCTCGTCGTCTTTTTGCTGGTCGTCGTCGTAGTGCTTCACGTGTGTTTCCTTGGGAACGCGCAGCGGCGTCGACGTAGACGAACTTTGCCGATGAAGCCCGTGAGGACGGATACACGACAGGGATGTGAGTAGGCGTGCCGTTGGAAGTTCTTCTTCGGTTTGTAGGTTGTCGCTGGGGGTCGGCAATTCTGCATTGCCGCCGCATTTGCAACCCCTCCCAGACTCATCTGATGAGGAGGAGAGGGAGGGACGGGCACACACTGTTCCGTTGGGTAGTGGATCTACGCAGGAATGGGCTTGGACGGAGCTGTGCGGTGGCAGTGCCGACGTGTGCGAGCAGTCCTTCACTGAACTACTGCGGCCGGGTCTCGACGGGGAAGAAGGACACGGCGGAGTGAACCTCTCTTCCGGTCTGTCTACAGGGAGGTGTGGAAGCCAGACGTGCACAGTGATCGTCAATCCCCATCCCGGCGACGACTGCGGGCAGTTAACCGTTGTGGACCGATCATTGAAATCCACCGGCT